TTGAAGCCCAATAGAATTTGCTTGAGTTACATTTTAGACTCTCTCGCCTCACTTTTTCAAGACTCCTAACCAAACAATTTTCTAGCATCACCACATTAGTACATTGTCATTCAGGTAAGTAAACAAGATCCAGCTCCCATCACTTCTTTAAAAAACGAAATATATATAGACATGGTAATCAAACCAATAATAATAAAGTGAAATGTCGTGTTTCTGGATCAATCACCTGACCAATTTCATTACACAGATGTAAATTGAGGCGTTGTTTAAATGGTCATCTACTGTCTCGTCAGTGCTGTGCTTACGACGTAGCAACGGACAACATATCACACTTCGAAGTATACAGAAGATCGTATGCTGGCGGAAAAAACTCACATTCGATCGTAGTTGTTACTTTGGTGTGATTGTGGTTGCTTTATGCGGGGATCCACTCGAGTTATATTGGCCAGAACATATGTTCCTTTAGGTCCTGTTATGCCGGAGAGGTCGGTTAAGAACTATGAGAATGAAAGCAACAACTCAAACTCCGAGGGCGAAGTCGCAGTGCTGACTTGACAGAGCTGTGACAATCGCAACATGTTTCTCATGGATAACTAGAATATGCAGAGATAGTGCCTTCCTACAACGAAAAGTGAGGGTCAGAAAAGGTTGACTATAAAAACGTCGTACTTCACCTTAACCTACAGATTTCCTTTACTAACGGTCAATCTTTTTAAGTACTGAGCTAACACCTGTAAAACTACTCACAAAAATATAGCTAAAGATTGACCTCAAGTAGTTTCCCCTTAGGCTCTGCGGTTATACTTCCAGATCTTTAAGACCAACAATAATTCAGTTTCCTTATAAATTACCTTAAGAAATATTCTTTTATGGTGTGGACAAAGATAAAGTGACAACTACTACCTTACATCTTACAACATTCGAAATAACCTTATTCATAGTTTGCTTGGCTGCTGCATATCAGTTACATGTTCTATTTTTATTATGACCGACACCTTGCCCCGTGAGTACGTGTCCTCAACGCACGCGTATACGTTTACTTTCTCTTGTCTGCTTACCTCCTCATAGAGTTATACTGTCCCATGTCTACCAGTCTTAACACACATCTCAGGAGGAAAACTTGAAAAATCGGAGGCCTAGCATACCATATTGGATTGTGGACATACTTTCTAATGATTACGAGTAGTCAAGACTGAGAGTTCGCCAACCTCCGAGGCATTCCACATATTGTTTTGGCATTATTTGGAATAGAAGCGTGAAATTTTTTCAGGAGATCAACATAGCGCATAATATTTATTATTAAAACTTCTTTCTCTGCATGTTTGTGTTTGACTAAGCCTCTACCTGAAGGAAGTGTCGACTCCCTGTTACTATGTTAAGCCCACATAACTTATTCTAGCTTCTGGACAGGCCAACCTATCCATTTTTCTTCAGTCATGTTTTGACCTTGTTAATTATTTGCTTATGAGTCCTGACTTTATATGAGTGCATGTGTGTACACTTGTTATCCTACTCATCACATGTCTATAGCTTATTTTTGTGTGACCATAAATATTGACCAATGTTTGATTAAATGGAGTTGGCTTACACGCCTTCTCCACTGCGCGTCATTTCGCTTCTTTCCGTTTCTCCCATCTGTTTCGCTCTCCCCTCTTTGTTTTGTCTCCCTGATTGCCTGTTCAAATCAATGAGTGCATGAAATATACATATTCAAAATCCATTCTCGTATTTGGCTTATTTATTTCTGTTATTCACTAACACGACTTAAGTGGATTATTACATACGAGGATAGCCGATATGTATATTTCAATAACATTCATACGATCCAATTGGAGTCAGATATACGGCAACAAAAACTAGACACGGAAGCTCCATATTGTAAATATCTATCTGAATCATCTTCATTCATGACCAATCATATGTCACAGCGTATCATATGGCACAGCGTTTACGAATCTTGATGTGTTCATTGATTAATCACTTGCAAAACAGGCTTGATGAATTTGTATTCAAATAGTTACATTAGTGGTGAAAATCCTCATAGTATACTTCACTGCTAGTTCAACCTTAGGCCGAAATTGAAGTCAATCACTTACGATAACTGGTTGTAAATAATCCTAGAGATGATAAGGGGATGGAGAGCAAATCATTGACCTCAATGGGACACGAACCCGCTATCTTCTGGTCTGAAATCATATGCCTCACTCATCGAGGCAGTGAGTCACTTTCCGCGAACTGTTATGTGTTAAGAATCCAGGTCATTTAAAACTAAGCGAGGCTCCTACGCTGAATAACATGGTTTTACATCTGTGCATATTTTTTGTTATGTATCACTCTCATTTCTTAGTTCGAACGTTTTGCTATCAGTGCAACGCTTTCTATGATGGCTATGATTTTTATCAACCAGGCTAATTATTTCACACAATAGCGCTTTGATCAATATCTAAAAAACTTACCTAAAATCTAATCAATTGACGTTTCGCGCTCCTCAGTACTTCCTTCATCAACTCACCTAGAAATGGTCTGAAGTTATGTGTACTTTGGTCGTTTAGATTTATACTCCTTCTGATGCAACAATTATAAATCACCCTAATTTTCAGGATTTTTACAAACCTCGTAAATAATTAGTGATTTCTGGGAGTGAAATATATTACGCTTTTGAATGGTTCTACCTAACTAGACAAAGCTTCTGTTATTAATGATTTTAGATTATGTTTGGTGCTGATTAAAGTTGTACTTAAGCACACTAAATCCCATATCTCATGAAACGGCACTCATGATAATAGTAATTATTCTTAATGGTTCCATTCAATATTTTTGGCACAATATAGAATTCTCAGCACAATGGTGAAATGCATTCAAAATATATTATCAAAATGCTAAAGACATCGGTCTTGTGGCCTGATAAATAAAATATTTTACTTCAGATCAGGATGTCATGGGTTCAAGAACCGTAGGGATCGATGGTGGTCACAGAGATGCCTATTAGGAAGGTGTGAGGAAAAGAAGATATGAATCTTAGGAATTTTTTCTTCAGTGAACTTATTCGTATAGTTATTTTACGGTATTTCTAACTGTAAACTTTTGTTTAAGATTAAGTTAATAAATTTTTGTATATCGCTTATCGTTAGTTATTTATATAAGTCACGAATCTATTTGTTATGTGACTTTTTTATTTGTGATCTAGTAATTTAAATGTACAATTACGTGAGTTGTAAATCTTATGGATACACGTAGCATACGACCAGTCATTACAACTTCTAGTGTTCTAAGTAGCGGATTACTTGTGACGAATACAGTGTTAATAAACTATTGTTATTGGTGTGCAGCAAAAATACAATAATGGCATTTAAGGTACACTATACAAGGATAAAAATAAGCTTAGCGACGTTCATCACATTTCTTATACGGTATTCAGGAATTTGTAATCAGAGGAATAAGATGAGTAGTGTGAAGATTGTTTTGTGACTCAAGTTGGGTTAGTTATTTTATTGAGTAACGTTAGATGTACTGGATCAAACTATTAGATATACTGGTTGTTTAATGCCTACAACTAGTTGGACTATGTAATTTCATATAACAGCTTCAAAGTTGGAACACTTACTTTAAACTTTACCAGGAAAATCAATCAATTATGGTGAGAACCAACTCTGTTACTTCGTATTTTAACGTTATTTATAATTGCTGTATTCTAAGAAAGATGGCCAGTGAGTAGCCGTGACTTCACCTTTAGACCCAATTTTGACGGATTTCTTCTTAGCAATGAGGTTATCGATAAGTCTGTATAGTTTTTCACCCATTCGCTAAGAAAAAAAATTGGTTCGATTTCTCGGAAGCAGAGCAAAACATATCCATTCAGAGGATACGATAATGGAGTTGGAGTTTATGGATAACATACTGTCAAAAACAGGTTACCCGAATTTATTAGAGCAAATGTATGCAGGAAAAAATGGGTTGGAGATATGGACCGCTCCGTAAGAAGTCCCTTTTCCTAGAGGTATAACTCAGTGGGTATGAGCCTAGTGATGCCCCGCATGATAAACTAGTAAGGGCAGTTAACAGGACATTTTATGCAGCTATTTCTGCGTTTATATTTTCTAACAGATCACAAAAGATAAGTTACCTAAATTTGTCTCTTCAATGAGCATCTACCATTGCATTGCGCCAGTGATGGCTATATTGGGCGTGCTAACAGATAATCCAACCAACTAATGAATGGACATCTCCCAGCATGGTTTGAAAAGGGCCAAAGACTATGTATAGCTCTATCTTGTCACGCGTGGTCGATATCAGTCATATGGTAGATAAAAGCCAGTGATTTCATGTGACCTATCGTGTACCTGTGTCGTTACTCAGTGGAGTTCCATCCCGTCTTCTACATATAGTATATATAGAAGTAGAGGGATCCGAACCTATAGCCCTAGTTTGTGTTCAGAAGAAATTAGTGACATCCCCGTCCTTTCTTTGTTTGGGTATGACTTAATTAACCGTACCGTAAATTTTTTTTCACATCTTGTATTTGTTTATCTTTCTTCATCTTCATTTATATTCTCACTATCTAATTATCTACACAAAATTTGTTATGTAATTCCAAGTCCATTTTGTAATTATGATTTTAAAGTCTATTTACCCAAGTTTGACCTATTCCTATGTTAAACTCTTCACTAGAACTTTTATTATTCCTATAACTACTAAGATACCTGTCTTACCATTTTCATATACCCATTTATATATTCCTGTCTATTAAAGTAAAATCTAATGGTGATCTAATTGAAAACAATACCGTTCGCTTATATGTACTACAAATGGTCAATACAATGAATGTGTGAACGAAGTGCAGAAAAGATTAATCGAAACGACATATAGTCTAGGAATGGAATCATCCATGAATATAAATATAGAAATGTATTGTAAAATTTATGAATTATATAGCTCACATTTTTTAGAGTAATTTTGAATTTTATGAAATAAATAAATGAGAACTATTAAAAACAAGTAGCGATTGATAAAAAATATATTTCACACGTTACATTTTAAACAGTAGGATAGCGAACATATTTGGGACAGAATACTTTATGTCCCTGTAATGAGAGATGTAGCTATTATAATAAATGTTCTGCTGAAGTTAGATCATTAATATTTTTTTGTGTGGAAGACGATTATTTAGGGAATAACTTAAGGCTATTGTTATGATCACAATAACTTTCTTACGTAAAGAACTTCCAGATCTGTGACACTAAAACTGCTGTTTATAAAGCTTTGCTTCAATTGTTACACAAGCGCGTCTGAGATCAACGGAACAGGACAGTCAATAAAAATATAAGGACAAACGAAGTCAACAAACCCTAGGAATACAAACAAGACTATTAGAACGATCTAATTCAATACATAGTGAATAACTAAAAATGCTCACTTCTTTATAAAGTAGGCGTCAATCATATTATCAAGAATAACAATGAAAACTCAATAGATAAACCGTTTATCTCAAAGAACTCTACAACAACACAGGCATTTATATGAACCTTAAATCAGCATTAAATTAAACTGTACATTTTTTAAAATAGATCTATTAACAGCACAGTTGTTCAATCAGCTTATTTACAATTCAGTAGATAGACTATAGTACAGTGAAGTGTACAGCAAAATATTCATTCTTATTATTTATTATCGTTATTTTACTAGAAAAAGAGAAATGAAAGGAAAGAATAAAACACATGTACAAAAAAACCAAATACATTATAAACCAGTAGTGCGAAAAATATTGGTTAAACATTTGATCTATTTTTAATTCTGAAGTGAAGAAGTAATTTTCGGCATCGCTGTGTACTTATTATGTTACATTTCCCCATCATAGACAATTTATTAGGCTACGGAATAAAAAAAGACATTTAAAGCAAAGCCAAAAGACAAAAATAAAAAGATGCTTTAATTACTTCATTTTTTTAAATTTAAATATCTGATGTACACAGTATTTGTTGTGAATGTAATGGAAAATTTCCATTTCGGATTAACCTTCACTCGAGCTTTCCAAATTTTAAAATTTATTAAAGCTTATTATTTAGTTGGTATGTTTCGCTCACTATTTTTATAAAATTAACCAACTTAGAATTGGATGTCAGGTGATTGAAGGCAATCGGCAAGAAGCAAGTCCACAGTTTTTCCTATTGTTTAACAATAAACAAAGCGAGCTTCAATATCAAGAATTTTGTATAGCGATCAGGATTCATGTTCGATTGATATTGTCTAATATCCAACGACCAGTTAATGTAATTCTAGATCATTTATCCTAATTTTGCGATTTTGTCATATAACACAGAGGATGGACGATGTAATTCTGGTAGATTTAAATATTCCTCTAGTCAGTCAATAAATTTTCCAGTTTGATTAATCATCCGAAAAATCAATGAAGCTGCTAAATATGTATAGGTGTTGACAACATACTGAGAATCACATCGTATTTATTTTTCTAAGTTTATAGTACAGCTTTTTTGATGTTATCAAAGTAATTCAACTGAATAGCAAACAAGTTATCAAGAGTCGAATATCAACAACATTAAACCATAACTTCAAAATCAACAGAATACGATCAATATAAAACTTTATGATATTATGTACATAATTATTTAGTTCCAAACTAGTAGTAAATGGAAAATGGCAAAACAACGTGTATTCTAATTCTGTTCACTGTGTTGTATTGACACGACATTGTTGAGATTTACAAGATAAAAACCATACTACTTATGAGTAACATTTTAATGTTTAATTCCTTTTTTGCATTCGGTTGGTGAATTAAGTAGCTTTGTTGGTTGACGTGGTTTTTTATTTCTTTCGGCCTCATTGAAATGGACACTTGTTTGTGCTCAATACTGACAACTTCTTACTGGTTTTATTCTTCTAAAAGTAAGACGTTAACTTAATCTAGTTTTTTTATTTACTGTAGAATCAAAAAATATTCAATGACAATAAAAGACTAAGCACTCGTCATGAGGCTTTCAGGTCATACATTCAATCCTTGACGAGGTTGTGGATGTGCGCTGTTGAGCAGTTCAATAACAGGATGAGACACTTATCCAGTGTTTCCTAGGTTTTATTGATTGTATAGTTAAAGTCATTCCATGATGTAAACTATACAAATCTCACAATAGTTTTATGGCGTTTTTCCATAATCCTAATCACCGATAAAATGATGTCATTTTTTCTTTTAACTGAATATAGTTTGATTTCAATGAAATGCCCATACAAGGCTGTTAGCTATTGTTAAAAGAAATTTAATCACCAGCCTTATAAAGAACATAATTAAATGGATTTACACAAATGGGTTAGCACTTTTAATTTTTTGAATAACTAGCTTACTTATTGTTCAGCTCTTATCTTTTGATGTTGATCTCAATGAATGTGCATTTGCTGAGAATGAATCTGATATTGTACAACAGCTTAAGGAATTCAATGTCTGATTTAATCTTTTTAACTGATCATAATTATATTTTAGTCTATCTTCTAAACAGTCTTTAGATGACGTGGGTTGGACGATTGATTCTTTATTTATTCCATAATTCTTTACATCATTACTGTGATGATGTTGACTGTGGTCATCCTCTAAATTTACATTTGATAAATTATGATTATTATGTAAGGAATAGCTTGATATCGAAATATTACCAGGTGAATGAATTGAATCAACTCTAGATGACGACGACATGTTACATAAAGTACCTTCATTTGAATAATATTCATAAAATGTTCTAGCTAAATTTCTGCCTAGTCGAGCATCTAAAAGATATTTTTGTTCAAAAATAAATGATGAATGATGGTTAAGGCAATGCTTGTCAATTACATGATAAATGAAACGAATCAAGTGAAAGATTATTAAAATAAACTAGATTTTATGTTAACTTGATTGGATATTATTCGTATATGCAATCATTCTCAAATTTGCTATGAATTCTATCACGTCAACAACAAAAAAACAATTGTATAAAGTTATAACATTTCGGGGTCGATAAAATGCTCCATGAGGAATGAAATTACCATTCATTATTAATAAAAAACAGTGTTCATCAAGCGGAAGTTTAAATTCATTTGGGAAGGTGCATCAATAATTCTAAGGAAAATGAAATAATCGAAAAAAAGAGCTACTTAAAGCCTCTAATCCGTTTGACTTCAAACATTCAAGAACGAGAACGTTATTTCCAGCAGTAGGTCTATGATCAAACTAAACAAAAATGGAGATAGTGGACAACCTTGACGGACACCATTTGAAGTTGAAAAATCAGATGACAGTTCGCCATAAGCTCTCACTCGACTAGTAGTGTTCGAGTAAAGAGCCTTCACAAGGTTTATGTACTTCTGAGGTACGCCTTTCAACGGCAGACACTGTCACAGAACCTCTCGGTCTACAGAGTCAAATGCTGCTTTTAAGTCAAGAAAGACCATTATTGTCGGACGCCGATGAACCTGCCTGTGTTCTAGAACCTGACGAATGGCGAATATGTGGTCAATGCAGCCACGACCAAGTCTGAAGTCAGCCTGATTTTCTCGTGTTTGCCAGTTCACGAGTCTTTGTTAGGCGTCCGATAATCACTGAGACCAATCTCTTAGACGCCATATTAGACAAACTAAACCCTCTATGGTTATCACAGGATGATTTTGACCCGTTCTTATATATTAGGACGATCAGTGATTGCGACCAGTCAGATGGGATAACGTCCAACTCACAGATTTTAGCTAAAATATTAGTCAACCTAATCGCTAAAATTAGACCACCATGCTTAAAGATCTCTGGAGCCAGCTACTCTTCCTCGTTTCAGAATAACTATAGCCTTCTGAACTTCAGCTAGAGTTGGGGGACCTACTTCAATGTTCCATTCACGCTGTTTGGGAATGATGGGTAGTTGTAGAGTAGCTGAAGGTAAGCTAAACTGCTTCTTAAAGTGTCTCACCCATCGTTCTAAACGTCTGAGCTGAGAGCAGATCAGAGTGTCCTCTTTTTCCGAGATCGTCTCACACTTGACTTCTTAATTCCAGTTTCTTCATTAGTCTGAAAAGCTTTCTGGTGTTATGTACAGCCGTTGTCTTTTCCATCTCTTTACATTTTCAAAAAGAAACAGAAGTAAATCTTTCCATATTGTGTTAACATTACCCTTACTTTATTACATTCTTTCCCAAAATCATTTAGGTTGAACCATTATCAATCCATTCAAATTCATACATTTATTTTTAACTGACTGACCTTAATTCATGTTATCATTAATCGCCACCAGCCTGTGTCTAACTGCTTCACTGCGTAATCAAATAGCTTTTTTAGCTCCGTGACCTTTAGTTGCAATCCCAATGTTCTAGAATTTTCTCTTGCACATTGTGTTTGTTTACAAAACTTCTTCCAATTAGCTAACTTTTCTGGGAACTTATCTCTATCATGACATACATACTAACCTCTAATCAACTTCAATCACACAAGTATGTTATCTCCTATGGTAATTTCGATTTTAAATCATAAGGAATTGTAAGTAACAGACGAGAACCCAATGAAATAAAATAAATTCTCATTATTCTGTTCAAATCTTTGTTCTTACTCTCTGGAAAATGAAACTTTATACCCGAAATATCTACAAGAAATACATATTTATCTCATATTAATAAATATTTATAGACAAGTAAATGAATATAGTGAAAATATGTTTAATAATTTAAAGGATACACTTTTCTTCAGTATACGGAATCATTTCATTGGTTAACATATCTGTGTAACTGTAAAATGAAACTTCTAATGTATAACAAATAGTGTGATCGTCCAGAATACCACCCAATGTGCTATAAGAAAGTAATAAAAAGCAGCATATATGTATATAATCACATTCACAAGCAAATATTTTATCACCTAACTAGGAAAGCACATAAAAAATAGTTTTAACAAATCAAATTACTACGATGGAGGTATACGATAACTATAGATTATTAATAATAGATATTCTTCTATAAAAATGTCAGTTATCCTCTTAAAACAATGATCTTAACCGAATCGCCATACAATAAGACATGTTAGTAAACTCTCGCTTATATAACTTGTTAAAATATGTAGGAGATGAACGGACAGAAGAAAAAATTCATTGAAGTTGGATAATCACAATGAACGCTTAAATTCAATTAAAGAATGCTAGCTGATCAACTAGCAAATTGTCAAGCAGCTAATCAGTAATGGCAATTAATGATAAACTCAACGAGAAATCTGGTTACGATTAAACAGAAGGTTTATCAGAACGATAACCCACAGTTATGAATGGGATTGAAGAAAAAATCTCAAACATGGAGTGGTTATTCTTTAGTAAATTCGTTTATAGATGGTGGTAATTTCCGAAACAGTGGTTTTATGGTGGCTTTCGACAGTTAAAATTGTAAGTCATCTCTTTAGTTATTAAATGTTGATACCTCTTTTACTATCTATAAATTGCAGTAAAAAATCTAAATTTGTTACTCAGCTTTAAGTCACAAATATCATAGTAGTGTTTGGATTTGTATACTGTGATGTATCGTAACCTTGGGTTTAACTGCATAATCATGTGAGTTCCTTGTTTAAATAACAAATACACTTATAACCACTTATTCAACCTTCTAGAGCTCTGGCTGAAGATTTGGAATCGTAGTAATGTGTGTGTACTGTCAAGGGTTTGAACTCTGTCTGTAGCTCTCCTAGGTTTACTACCTATCATAGGCCTGGATAAAGGAGAAGGGTTGGTCATGAGGTCAGCGAACCCATCCTGTAGAAAACGACCTTTCTAAAAGTCGCTAACCATGAAAAGTCACTTGAACTATGTCTTGGGAGTTGAAGGGTCTTCTAACATAAGAATTATGACACCCCATGGTGAAAGCCGAAACTCTTAGAAAGCCGCAAGGCCGACACCCAATGCCCATCCTGACAACCAGAGCAATAGTTAACATAAGTACTTGGAACGTTCGGACAATGTAAGAAACCGGGAGATCCAGTCAAATTGTTAAGGAAATTAGAAGATAAGACTTGGCGCTTCTCGGAATAAGTGAGACCCATTGGACACAAACTGGACAGAAAAGATTAGATTCGGGAGAGGTGTTGTTGCATTCTAGCATGAAGAAGGAAATGTTTTTCACACACAACGAGTTGTACTGATCCTATCCAAAGAAGCAGGAAAAGCACTCAGAATGGGGATCTCATAGATCCAGGGTCATCAAAGCACTCTTCAAAACGAAGGAAGAGAGGATTGCATAGAATGTTATGCTGTGCTATGCACCTAACAATGAAAGCAATGAAGACGATAAAGATCGGTTTCATGAGAGGCTACAGTTGATCGTAAAGAAGTAGCCAGGGAAAGACCTTACCATCCTGATGGGAGACCTCAACGTCAAAGTTGGAATGGACAACACCGAGTATGAAGATATCATGGGATAACATGGACTGGGAGAAAGGAACAATAATGATGGCAGATATGGAAATCAATGTGCCTTCAACAAAATGGTTATAGGCAGCATAATATTCCCCTATAAACACATACACAAAGCTACATAGGTTTCTCACCTGATCACACTACAGAGAACAAGATCGATTATATTTGCATCAATAAAATGTTCAGAAGGTCAATGGAAGAGGTGAGAACCAGGAGAGGAGCTGAGGCTAAAGAACCACTGGACAACTGTGGATACGGTATTACAAAGGTTCAATACAATCTTCCTTCGAGATACTGACAAACTCAACGAATTCAAGATGGATCTCAATCACAGGTTCCAGTCCCTACAATATATGCTTAAATAAGTGAAACTAGTATGGGGAACAACTGGAAAGGGACTAAAGAAGCACCAAGCTAAACGTACCGAAAGGTGCAGGATCACGAGAAGCACCATCATGAAGAATGGATTTCTATCGGGAATCTGACTAAGATTCGAGAAAGGAAGAACAGGTAGATAGCAACTAACAACAGTCGAACAAGAGCAGAGGAAACTAAGGCACAGACCGAACGCACAGAAGCAAACAAGTGAGTGAAGAAGAGCATTAAAGCCGACGAGCAGAAATACGTGGAAGACCACGTAATGCCAGAGGAAAAACCTGACAGAGAAGAAAGTATGAGACAACTATATCATGCAACGAAGTAACTGACAGGCAAATATAGTAAACCAGAGTGATCAGTCAAAGACAAATAAGGCAAGTCAATCACTGAGATTCAAGAACAGTGGAATAAGTGAGCAAAGCATTTCGAAGTGCTCTTGAATACCCCAGCTCCACTGAACCCACCAGATTTTGAGGCGACATACACAGACCTTCCTATAGATGTCACTCTACCAACGATCGAACAAATCATCATGGCCATCACACAAAATAAGAGTAGGAAATCAGACGAACCAAACAACATACCATCTGAAGCATTAAAGTCAGACATAAAAGAAACCGTAACGATGCTTCACATTCACAGACAGATGCATTCCAAGTGAGGGCCGGAGTCAAACAAGGCTGCTTACTTCCCCTCTTTCTCTTTTTTCTGATGGTTAACTGGATTATGAAGACCTCTACATTTGAGGGGAAGCACGGTATACAACGGACAGCATGCATGCAGCCAGACAATTTGAACTTTTCAGATGACCTGGCCCGTCTACCCCATACGTACGAACGAATTCAGATGAAGACAGCTAGTGTAGCTGCAGCTTCTGAAGCGGTAGGTCATAACATTCGCAATAGAAACAAATCCTGAAATCCAATACGGAGAACACCTACCCAATCACATTTGATGGAGAAGCCCTGAAAGAGGTGGAAACTTTCACGTACCTGGTCAGTAGCATCATCGATAAACAAAGAAGACTCGATGCAAATGTTAAGTCACGGATTACTAAGATAGAGCGACATTCCCACAGTTGAAGAATATATGGAACTCAGAAAACTGTCAGCTAACTTCAAAATCAGAATCTTCAATACGAACATCCAAACAGTCTTACTGTACGGAGCTGAAACTTGGAGAGCAACCAGAACCACCATCAGAAATGTACAGGTATTTATAAACAATTGTCTAAGAAACATATTCAAAGTATGTTGGCCGTAAACTATCAGCAACAGCCTACTGTGGGAGAGAACAAACCAACTTCCAGTTGGAGAGGAAATTAGGTAAAGACGTTGGAGGTCAGTAGGACATACAGTACGGAAATCATAAAACTGCATCATGAGGCAAGGCCCAACTTGTAGTCATAAAGGCAAAAGGAGAAGAGGCAAACCAAACAACAAATTGAGCCGGAAATGGGAGACAGACATTAAAACGATGAATCGCGCTTGAAAACAACTAGGAGGAGAGCTCAGGTCCGAGTTGGTTGAAAAATCCTGGCGGACAGTATATGCTCTACGAGATGTAACATGCGTAAGTATCGAGGGTTTGACGAATACAATAATGGAATCAGAGGATTTACCATAAATGTCATAAGTAAAATACGATGGTGTAAACCTTTCCACTAAAAGAGTTGCTGTATTCCGAAAGCTGTTTTTCGTATACAGCTGACTCAGTTGTCATTTTTATCTAAACACTTTGAGTGCAATCAGAGAATAAAGTTTTAATTATAACAGTGCAAACAAAAACTGTTAATAATTTTCCGTAGGGATGTTGACACCCACTGATAATTCCCACGCGTCGATTCAATATCGCGACAAATAATAGGTCCAATTTATAGAAATTTCTTGAACGGGAAGTGTTTTATATAACCATTTCCTATAGATCTTAGAATTAATCAAAATATGTATCGATAGAAATGTAGGTGATCTAAGTGACCCAGTATTTCAGTAAATTCAGTTTGAGTTTAGATGATTAAAAGTAGTCAGTTGAGATTTAGGGACCATGATTTTGTATATTCATGTCGAACAAACTCATTATTTCATTGAAACTCCGAATCTTATCGCTTATAGCTGTGATTGAAAACATTATTAATAAACTGATAAGTCACAAACAATATCGGTGAATGAAGTGAACCACAGTATCTGGTTTCCTAGATTTACAACCGTTATGAAATTATTATGTCAAGAAAGGATGAAAACGTAACACTGATCACTATGCAATCGTGCAGCTGACCGCTATATCAACATTACAAAACGCCAATCCAAATGTCAGACGCAAAAGCTTTCATCAAGGTGTGAATAAGTTTCACAAAACAATATCAGGAAATATAAAATTTAGGTCCAGATTAATCTAATTATCGGTTTTAATCAACTTACCCGTAAAAAAATTTAACGATCACATAAAATTTCTTCGTCACTTTTATTTTATATTATTTTCTAAAGAATCGTTAAATATTTTGCACCGTTTTTTAAGTTTCTCACAGTTAAAATTAGTTTCTGATACTTATTTATGAGTGAATCAGATTAAAAACCACAAGCAAACTCAATTACTGGAAGAAAAATTGACTGTTTTATAATGTAAACAGATATCATGATACATAAAAAATTACTTACCGTCGACCAGTTCCAGCTTTTAAAGTATCTTTATTGAAATTTGTCTGTGGTAAACTAAAGTCTTCAGCAAACTGACTTAACAAACTTGGAAATCTAGCTTGCCTTTCTGCTCGTTTTTCATCCTCATATATATTTCCATACATAAATCCATTCATTAGTGTAGAGTGTGCATGTATATCAATGAAGAAATTCACATCGATGAACTAGGTAAAGATAAATTCAAACACAGAACTATGAACTAGTAATCTTTTCATATAAAATACATTTTCATCACATGCCAATATCAGCTGAGAAACGATTTAAAACCACGGGGTAATAAACCCAAAGGACAATAGTTACAACCTATATAGGGTCAAAGGTGAACACTGCTGAGAAGTACTAAAGTATAACAAAACAAATGTCTAGCTTTTTCTACTTTTCAATGATTCCCCAGGTGATGCTAGCCCATGAAGAAAATCAATCGAAAATCGACTTCATTTTATTTTGTTTAAAATGGATGAAAGAAATTAATAGAAAACCTTGAGTCTAAGTTTCTTGTTATTGCATATGTAACAAACGGAAAATGAACTAACTTTAGCCTCGTTGCAAGTACAAAAGTTTCTAAAAAGTTTATAACTTACTGGATTATTGTCCAAATTCATTAACAATTGTTTTGTAGCATAAATAGTAGGATGTGCCCATAAGGATGGAGACTGCCATTGTCTATTTAAATCGAATCCCATTAAAGATGATCTAAAGATACCGAGAATTAAACTGTTTCTTAGACTAAGAAAAAAACCCTTTTAAGACGTTTTTACTGTCATTATTTATCATATTGGTCTACAGTGGTGGAGTATGGCACACATTTTATAGTTGTTGTAGCATACAGAAAAAGGAGACTAAAATTAAAATGTGAACCACATGCAACTATCATTAATCGTTACTAAAATTAGACATTCGCTTTAATGAATATTATGAACAATGATTCAACTTACAGTTAACAAATAATTTCAGGACATCAAAATAGCCTTGATTACGATTATAGACTGTAAATTCATTAACTATAGGTCTACATTTGTAAATTCGTTAATAAAGCTTCATTGTAGTACAAATTTAATATTTGTAAACGTTTGCAAATGTGAATAAAAAGTATCACGGTGCGGTATAGCCATACATCTTAGATTTTTACTAAAAACTTCAACATTTTACCTTATTGCTCTAATTTAACATAACCTTACGTATTCCACTCATTGTTGCACTGATTCTTTTTCTAAAACATCTATTATATATATTTTTTTGTAATTTGTTTATAAATTACATTGAAGAAATACTATGGTAAGTTTGGTGTTGAATCGAATACGTATCCACTATTAACGAGTTTGTCATAAATTCCTCTTCACCTTTACCATGGAATAAATCAATCTTCAGGAGTACTTTTTCTCATTACAAGCTAGGACCATTCAGAGTCAAACAAGTCAGAGATGAAACAGTTACTCAACAATGACATTGAATAGGAACCACGAAGAAATATACCATTGATTTACTGGACCTGAATATTCACATCACTTGCTTCCAACTTATCGACTCCGTGGTAAAGCAATAATAATTATGAAACCCAATTCCAAGTTTACATTGGGTTGTAGATGCACGGTAGTGAGCACCCCCACCCTTAAAAATCTAGGGCTGATGAGGTTGATAATGCTCCTTGATTTTAAGTAATCCTTGAAACGATGCTTGTTTGTGATTTGGATTTTCTTCTAAATAAACAAAACTCTCTAAAACACCCACCTACTTTTAAAGTGTATCTTTAACCAAAAATTCAGCTGTAACAAGAAGTCGAAACAGAGATGGTTGTTTCACTTAAGTTTACTTTCAGTTTTAGGACTACAAGGAAAAAATATTTATTCGTAATTAATGCATTTGACTAATAAGTACTCTAATGATTAGATATTTTCATACCTAATTCGACATTTCTAGAAAATATCGTTATTATGTGGATTATACAAAACTCATATCAGTTTATTTTCTCCTTGCTTCATTAGTATTGTTGAGGTTTTTATTTTGACTCCACTCAAAAAATGCCTCTCGCCTTCAATGTTGACCTTTTTCCAGTTTTTTTGCTAATTCTTATCATATCTAGGTAATAAATACTTAACTAGAGTTAATCTATTTTGTGTTTATCTAATTAGTTGCAAGAAAGTCTTACAAAAAGACATTTGAAAAGTAAGCAAAATTTAATTATTGTAAAACTAAACAGAACAGAATTATTTTGCTAGAAGTTAAAATATCTACTATCAACAAACTTACTGTAAAGTGTATTACTAGAGTGAGATGAAATCGGACAAGATATTGTTAGTAATGCGGCAAACAAAACAGAACTTACCTATAATTTCCCAAATAAACACCATCTGGATTTAACATTGGAACAATTTTAAAAATTAAATGTTCACGTAATTGTTGAGCTATCGAATGATTACTAACCATGAAATCAATAAATCCTATAATATTTTGACGAAAAACACAAGTATATCTATACTGAGATCATCTTGTACTGCAACGAAATAATTCAGTTTTGATGTAAAAAGAAGGCAATCATCTAACACAGAGATTATGTACATGTCTACCTGAAAGGTGGTAAGTTATATCTATTGTATAAGGACTGGTACAATCTTAAGATTTTGACTATTAAACTAAATGAAGCAGGCTAAAGCTGTCTAACCTCAAGTTTATTAACCAGGTACACATGACCCAAAAGAGATTTCTCATTAATTATTACCTCTGAGAACCCTAACTTATATTCAATTAGATTCATCAAAAGAAAAATAAGTTACAAATACGGACAACAGATTGTAAGATATAGCATGTTTTAGCAATAATTATAACTTATAGGCCAAACATTTCAAATTTAAGAAATGCTCTTCAAAAAAAGGTGAATATTCTCTATGGGGATGTTTTGATTCAGTGAATTATTGGATTACATAATACGAAGTCTAGTTTTTCGAGCACACCAAATATGAGCGCAGATAAGGTGCATTTATTCCATCAAGTAATCTATAATGGTACTGATCAGCGTATCATACGTAATCCAACTGAAGAGGCATGGGGAAATCTCAGTTTTGTTTTGGGAAACTGGCTTATTACTTCTGACGCCATGAGATACATTCGACCACATAGAGACCACAAAACGATTTTATTTTCATTTTCTCAAATACTTTTATTTTGTTTTTATTTGCGTTAATCCAGCTGTTTTTTCCACAATATCCGCGGTGACAATATTTATCACAAAGCTAAGCACAAGTGACTTAATCGTACATTAAACAGTTGTTCCCATAACAGAAGGCAACCATGTGAAATAACCGACATGTAATCTATACGACCGTAAAAAAATTGTAACCTTAAGTTTGAATAAAGATGTTTGGTTTTGCTAAAACTTCACTGATAGTCTGTTTCCAGAAGTAGTAGTTTATGGCTGGCAGTAGCATTAAGGAAGCGCGTCTTTTTTAATTTGAAGTGCTTTAGATGGATGTATTTGCATTTCAGTGTTAATTTTCACACTGAAAATAGAATCCAGTAATTTTCGCGACAGTGATCAAAATAAGATCTTGAATATCAACAACGGGATAACTCAAGCTCCTTGTAGTAATAATGCAATCACAAGTATTAGTTTCTGTCTGTTCTTTTATTTATTTATTTACTCCCATAATTTATTCATCGATTTGCTAATTTTATTTAGATATCTAAAATCACTATGCTAGAGTTATTGTATGATTCTGAGAGTGTTCGAGAGATTAATGTTGATGAAAACAGAAAAATACCCTTTATGCTAAATCTCATTGAAGGTGAATTAATATTTACATGGTAATTAGTAACTTGTGCACGAAATAACCATGATATTCACGAAACGCTGCTTCAATTACTGGCTTTCAAAAAGAAATAGTAGCATTTGAAGTAATACAGGTAGTTGTGGAATCTTAACCTATAATATTCAGCATTGAGTCGTTAAAAACTACTTGTGTGTTTCTTTGTACAAAATGAGCAGGATTTTAACTAATACAGTTTAAAGACTAGATAGTTTGACAGTGGTCGTTCTGTAGTCACTAATTAATTTTATTGAAATCTATTGATGTCATTTGTACGAGATAAAGATTTCGTTTAAGTTGATTCTTAACTAAAGTAATTAAATCTAATATCAGTGAAACCTAACTTTGAGGAATATATTTTATACGTCAAACAAGCAACCATTACCAATTTGGAATCTAATCAAAATAAAGTATAAAATCTACTTAACAATACATGAAAATGCCCCAACTAAAAACAGTACATCTGATTACCTTGGCAAACATAAGATGATGGTGTTTCACCAGGATGAACACGAGCGGTCACAAATATCACACGTTTCTTGTCAGCCGTTTTATTGAGATTACTAGGATGAGTAATTGTTATAAGATCTAGACGTCTTTGTTGCTTGTAAAACGGAAATAAGTTGCGAATATGAACATAAGAAATTAAAATCATAGTATTTTATGGTATATATATGGTAAATAATCCTGACTCAAACACAAGCGACCCTGCTGAAGTTCGATTAGTTATATTGGATTGATAACAAATGACAACTTACTCGACCAGCTTGTTTTAAAATTGAATTTCATCAGTGGCACTTTGGCCAGGTGAAAAATACTAGGTTTGTTTGTAAAGCTTTAAGTCCAAATAATTAACCAGTCATTGGGATTGTGGGCTGATAATGACCAGTTTATACAATACGTATCACCAATGGACTTCACCATGATCAAAATTCATTTTGCTACTTCTAGTTTGATACTAATTAGTATAAAAAGTGTTGTATGGAACAAACTGATCTTTTACACCAATCTAGGGTCTCATAAAAAAGTGTTACATAGTATAGTGATAACCATCTAAAAGCCAATTAGTTGCATTATTCTGTATCATTATAATACTACGTGTTTAATCTCTCGCTAATGAAAGAATATGAATTAACGAACGGCACAAAATGATAAATGGTGTTATACAAATATGTAGGGCAGTACATTGATCTCATAATGATAAAGGTGATAAAAAACAATCGAAAAGGAGTTTGGCTGTTCTTATCTCTAGAGTTAATCTAACTATTTGCTTATAACTTAGAAGGCTACAAAATAGAGTTAAGATAAAGTAATTAATTTTCCATTCTAATCGCAAAATATAATAAAATATCACGCGAAATATTATAAGTAATTTTAAAGAATCACTTGGAAAAGCACATTAATTTCCCCCTTCCATAGTATGGATTAGGTTTCACATTTGATCTATACGTGCGAAATATCAATATTTATACTATTGAATAACAAGTCAATGCACAATGCTCCATTCAACATTTTGCACAAATTGCATTTGGTTGACGTTTGAATTTACGGCAGTTTCAAATAACTGTTGGATTCAGAAGGAAGACTTGCTTTTCATTATAATTGGAAGTAATGACTTGTTGAGAGAACTGATACCTGATGAACAAGAGTGGGTCGTAATGTTTAGTCAATCTATATGAGAATAACAGACTAAAAATAAAGCAACTAATGTGACGTTGAGACAGTCAATATTCCTGATATTTTAATTAGAAACAAAATCGCTCCCTAAGTTTATAGCTGGTATAAAAGTATCCATAGTGATTTCATTTTAAATGCGTATTATACGAGTATGATTTCAATAAATACGGAAGCCTAGTATATATCGGGTTTTGTAAATAAAATCTATTCAAAAATTTGGATATTTAAGGTTATTCAATTTAATTAGAAACAAAAATTGTCTCATTACACCAACTGCCTAAGATAAGATGTAGTTGCTTCATTTCAATGAACAAGTCGCAGTCCAATAACCAAACATTACTTGTTTTCCGTTATGAGTTTACTATGTCGGCAGAATTTTCTGTTTGACAGATTTCTAAAAGAATGGGCAGTGGATAAAGACGATATCTATTTCTGTATAGAGTATCCTTTCTAATAACAATCAAATTAGCAGACAACCATTCATCAGCAAAACACGATATTCAAACTGAATCAAAAATGTGTGAAATACTACCATTAGAATGACTAACAGTCAGTGCCTACAGGTTTTAGTATGTGCGACAGTTTTCCTTTAGTAAAATGTTCAATATAAGACTTTTAGGAAATGTTTACCCTCAAATATCATGTTTTAAATTGTCACAGAGACGCAATAGTTCGAGAAAATAGCCAAATCACAGCATTGACACAGTTATCGAAGTCAGCGTATTTGATTCACATGGAAAAGTTAAGTGGAATCATTACTTAGTCATTATTCGGAAGAAATTTAATAGTATTGTTTTTTTTACTGTTTCACCAAAACTACTGTGTGGTTCCATAAGAATTTATTGTTCTACTTACGAAAAACGGCTCGGCTATACTATAGTTCGATGATATAACTGTTACCAAACAAACCTATTTCATTAACGACGTATAAGTAGAATCACGGTTCCATTTTTAATCAAAAGTCACCCCTCTAAAATCTACCTCTTTTTACTTAAGAATATCAAAACTTCTCACATCTCTATATTCAAACACATGAATGTGACCAACAGAGAAACAAGATATAATGGTAGCCAAGCAACAAAAATCTCTGAATCAAGTATTATCTCTGAAAAAGCTACTCACTCAAATAACAATACATATTAAAAGCTCTAAAGACAGTACAGTAACTGGGTGATAAGACTGTAAAGCTGCATCAGATTTACTGTCTAAATTCATATATAGCAAATCTTAAAGAAAAGATATATGACTCCAGCCAGTTCGCGAGAATTCAGCAAAGCACATTACGAGTTGGCTTAGAACTAATTAGTCTTATCGCTTAAAAGTAAGTGTACCTACTACTGTCAGGCCCAAAAGTTCTCTCTTGAAATGGGCATAATGTTTGGTTTCTAGTATCTCTAAGTACGTCTGTAGTCTGCTGTAAGTATACGGATAACAGTATGCGAATTGATAGACGTCCTCTTCACAATCAAAAGAAAATGCGAAAGACATAACGTATTTTTTCTTTTGTTCAGGGGATCGGTAGTAGAAAACACATTTTTGTGGAATGCGAGACCTGAGTTAGGTATATAATGGAAAACAATACCTACCAGGAAGGACGGCTAGACGATTTAACAACTGGGGACATACCTTCTCGATATAAAGACTTTGTCTTGCTAAAATTTACCACATTGAAAATTACTCTCTGATTATTAATGATAGACTATGAGTATTACCTGTTCATATTTAGTGTTTTCCACTGTGAAATTAAACCATACTCTGAATCGTTCATTACATGTATCCGGACGTATAAATAAATCATACTCGTATTCACTGACGTACACAACCTTTCCAAGATTTCCTTAGTGATAATTAGGAAAGGCAAATGAATTACCACTTTCAAAACATGCGTCGAAGATTAGATGGCCTTTTCGTAATTTTCCAGTGTATCCATTAGGTATAACTAGTAATTTACTCACATTCCCCACAACGCTATCGCTGATGCCATCAGAATCACTTCCTGCAGATTCATTCTGGTCTACAAAAGCACTTCCAAATAAATCTTCATGAAAGACGTTTTTTTTGCACTCATCTGACATATTAGTTACATTAACTACACAAACAAAAAGTAGAATAGACAAACAATTTTCTGAGCCCATTTTCAAACTTATCTTCGATCGGAATAACCAGATGACAAGAGTGGAATAGAGTGAGATAAAACATTTTCAAGCAATCAAGTTGCAGAATAAATAATAATGGAAACGTGGTTAAATCGATCAGATTTTGAATGTGATTAAACAATTATTAGGGGCTATCAAAACACATATGACGATGAATGTAGCAATACCAGGTATCTTTTCGACAAGCTAGTGTAAATCATATTGTAAGGCCAGTGAAATTCCACTGAGCCCTAGCCAAATCATACTGCAGTTGGGTCATTGAATGTCGAACAAATCATCGATCCTCGTCAAGGTCAGGGACAACCAACGCGAATCAGTTAATCGTACGCCATGAACTGGCTGATGTGGCAGTGGTCTTACTTTCGCTTGTATCTACTTTAACTAATATATTTCTGTAAAAACGTCCTCTGTGTTGTACAGTTTTCAAAGCATCTATAGTACTTTGATACGTCAATGGGCTAGTCCATGTATGGTGCTGACCTCGAGGTGTAACTTCGACGTTAGCTGGTTCGTCACGCCATTCCAGTTTAACTCGAGTAGACTCCCGGTCATTTCGACATAGATCATCTACGTTGGTTTTCTACAATATGATCTCTTCACGCCTTCCTAATGGTGTTAGGGTACGATTTTTCGTTTCCGATGACGTTCAAAAACGTAATCTAGCTACTCGGCAGAATTGTTCAAAGTGAATTCCATTGTTAGCAGTGGGTTAACTTATCCTGAGCATAAGCGACTTGGTCTGTCTCAATATAGTAGGTTTTCTGGTGCTCCTTACTACTATATGTTTGGCAGGAACTGGTTAGTGGAAGCATAAAAGTTGTAAAATCAGTGAGGATGAGAGAAATGAAGACCATTGTTAAGAAAAGTAAACAAATTAGTTAAAAAAGCGAGTGAATAGAAAAAATGTCAAAGCATACTTATAGACATTGGTGGCGCCGAGCGAAATGTGCAGCATAGATGGACGATTGTGATAAACATAATATTAATTAAGAATGTCAGATAAGTTTTGGGCCGTGTCTACATCTTCCGTGCAGTTTGAACTAGCATCTATGCTCCCTGCATGGTCGAATATAGACCGCTTGATGTTTGAATAACTGGAAGAGAGTGACTACAGATAACACGGATTTTTTATGTCGTACGAAGATCGATGTTTTGGATAAATCAACTATTATCTCGTTTTCCGACTTCCGAGGTTCAAGTGAATCCTTTTGCTTTTTGTGAGTTTCCAGGTTCTGACATTATCAGTGCAAATGAAAACTGGCGATCTGATTTCATTCACTTAATCGTCTGGGCAAAGCATAAGCAGTAGAAGTCTTAAAATAGTTTTAGTATGGAAGCAAAGGTATGGCGTAGTCATGTTAGGTAGCTATCGTGCAGGCTATGTCATGAAACGTTGAGGGATTAGTATGCACAAGCTAAAATGTGGAGCGAAAAACAAGTTCAAAAAGACAAAAGTTAAATCAACCTTTGAAAGTGAGTACTGCATCAAGTGAAGAGCAAACCTGAAAGGATCTAAGACTAGTATCTTCCTGGATTTTGTTATAGCTGACCGCTGTAAAAGAAAGCCTATGAAAATCACTAGTCATCGTCGAATCGGCGACAAAAATATGAAACTAAAAAACCTCTAACCAGTTAAAGTTTGGAGTGAAGCGGTTTCCGAACCACTTTTGATTGCAAAGGACAGCACTTCACTAAACTAAATGCTTGTTATGCAAATTTTCTCAGCCTACTAGCTTAGGAATATGGGGTATATAAGAACATGTCTTGCGTCAGAAACAAGTGGTTGTGAAGTTCAGCCAGTGTTTTGTGATACAGTAGGACTGACGTGCTAAGCCATATATACAGTAGTGTCATCTTGTACCTAAAAGATATCTCAACCATCTTTGCTTCTTGATCAGTGACGCATAACTCAATAACATGAAAATTAGTTATATGCTGACCAAATTATGAAGGACGACATATCGAACTAGTTGTGGTGTGCCGTAGCCTTGAATATATGGCAAATAATTTTCTCCGAAATCAACTTCAATAATACTCAGACACTGATAGAACTCTAATGGTAGATGACTTCAATGTACTATCTATGAACTGCACCAACTTAGAGATGCGTTCACTGGAAAACGCCTTTACCACTTTGGAAACCATAATCTTACTAGCTTTATTTCAATACTTCGTAGAACTTATCAGATACTAAGAACAGCACTATTCATCTGTCCATGACTAAATCTTCACTCGTGGGGTTGATATTGGTCGAGTACTTTACACCAATAAGGAGATAAAGGCCTCAAGGTCATCGTATTCAGGCTCACTGTTGACATAGCCAACCAAGTGGACTCACTGGGCCTTTCCAAAATACGTGGGGAAGACATAAAGCTAATCAGCATACGAGATCCTCTGATGACTAAGAAATCAATTCGGAACCATTAGTTGAAGACCCACAGAAACGGAACGGCCAAAATCGACGGCTATGGGTCAAGCGACATCCTACCGTCAAGACAAGAATATCTTCACGAAAGTTTGCCGTTTTTTACTACAAGCTCCATATTCCTCCTTTTTTTACATCGACTAGTAGTTTGGTTTCTCATGTTTGCTTGATGAATGTTTCAGATGGATAACAAGATTTTTCATCAAATTTAACACCGACGAGAGAATGCGGAAATAAATCTTACAAATGGTAGGTCTTAATCTCGAACATAGGACTTATATGTATCAGCTTTTCCATATTAACAGAGGAAGAAGTCCTTGAGCAAAGATTGATCCAAACTCGAACATAATAAATTGGTGCACCTCACTCTAGTATGCAGCCGTCATTCTATGGGTTCAAATATGTCATTATCTGTCTGAAAATGGAACTCCATATAAACCGTGATCTCGGAGAGCGTGTGGTGGCATCGGGCCCTAGCCACATAATCCTCGAGGTTGAACAGGAGACACCAGGTTAAAAAGATATTCAACATTTACCTCAGAGAAAAACCCAACGATAGAGTAGGTTGGAAAAATGCATTGAGTTAATTCGAATTCATCAGATGGCATGTCTCGGCCTTGCAGGAGTGGTCATTGTTTAGTGTCGTTATATACCTTCTATTAATATTTATTATATTGTTCTATAATTAGCCTAAGTGCGTTCTTTATCACACATTGATGATTGCTACGAATAGATGAGTCAATATAGACAACGATGTGACTTCCACGTAAGATGTCATAGATCAGGCAGCTACATCATGACAAATCTGTAATTTTAGGACTACGTTTGTTATTACTGCGGTACTGATATCACAGTAGACCATATTATTATTATTATTATTATTATTATTATTATTCACAAACATCTTATGGATACATAAGTGTTGTGAAGAAACCATTTCGGGTTTCTTCAAAAAATGCAATAATACACAATTTTCAATAATTTCAGCATTATACTTGCCATTTAAAAAACATTAGAGGAATAATAGGAGAATATTATTAATAATAAATCGGGTCTGTGCAATTGAGAAGAATATTGAATTGAGTTTAAAGAAGGAAATGGAGAAAATAAGGGAATAGAAATAAAGGAGACGTGAAATACGCAAACAGTCTACAAGGCGTGTTTATGAACACAGCAAGAATAAACGACTATGTGTGTATCGTTAAATTAGTAACAAAAATAATTAAAAAAAACAACTTATAATTGCAGTAAGATATGTTCAAAGAATAAATGTTTGTGCAGTTATAGTTTAGAGTGATGCGATGAAAGTTTCAATTGAGTGGAAAGGATAATAAAATATCAATATTTATGAGTAGTCATATATGCATAGCGAAGATAAAACGGGTCTGAGAATTTAATTTAAGTGTAACACAAGTTATTGTTTTAATTACAAACTTCGTAATCTTAAGAATAATATTTATATAGAAGGGAAAAAGAGAGACAAGAGAAGTGGATACCTAGTGAAAAGGTTCATCCATGATAAGAATAATAATTGTGTAATGAATATCAACCTCAGAAGGAAACCAACAATTTAGAAAAATAAAATAAAAATCCTCTAAAGCACTCGGATAAATACATTTAGATTTATGTAATAGTATACAGAGTGAAACCGGATATTAGTATAAATATTTGTGCAATAATAATTAAGATTGATGCTATGAAAGTCAAAATTGATTTCAAAGGACAATCTGGAGTTAAATATGTTTAGAAGGATAAGAAGATACAAAAAAATATCTAATGTGTCGGGGAACTAATAATGATATTAATAACGGTAATAATGATAAACATGAACATAAGCAGGCTTCATATATTAAGATAAAGAGAAATAAAACAAGATAGAAGTGAAAAGATTCAAAGGTTTTATTTTGCTTTTCAAGCAATTAAATGGATGACGGACCTTGTTTGTATAAATCATTATTGAATACATTGATATTCAATAGGTGACATAATCCACTTTCGGAAAGAAAATCGTCAAGGAGACTTTTGAACCGGGTTGTAGTTTCACTGCAACGGAGGTTCACTGGCAGTCTGTTCCACATGGTTGACTAGCGAATAAGGAAAAAAATTATGACTTTACAATTAAAGTTATTTTCAATTAATTATTTTGGTTTTATTGTTGTTGGGAGCCAGTCATTCAGTTTGCGCTTAATCGTCTGAATTTGCGTGTAATAGGTCGAACTAATAAAATTGGGAAACCAATAAATGATGGAAAGCGTGGTTCTAAGAAGCGTAAAACATGGAAGAATATTCATTGGTTTCCTCATCACCAACCAAAAAAATCCTAATGCAAACAAGATGTCCCACTTCCCAAATACGGGTGGAAATATATCAATCTTTGCTGCTTAGTAACTATACCCTCCCTCCGTTTTTGATGTTAGGCTCATTTAAAGTGATGTCTATATGTTGCACCCATTAGAAACCTCTTTCTTCACGTGCACCACATACAAGCATATTGAGCAGTTAAAGCTAGTAAGCCGTAGATAGATATGATAATTAGGAGTATTTGGATTATAGTATGAACTAAGAATCCGAGAACTAACGCAATCGGATCAAGAAGTACTAGATAAGCATGAACGAAAGCACTACGTTTGGAATTCTAAATCAAGCATTCAACAAGTACAAAGGAATCATTAGTTCATTTAAATACCACATCCGCCACAGCTTAAATAGGAGTATAAGTGTCTGTAATCGATTGTACGTCTTCTTGAGTTCATCCTGTGTCTGTCCGACATTGTGTCGGATAAAAACTCTGTATTATCTAGAATGTGTTCATTAGTATTGGAATTAACAACCGAA